TAATTTTAAAAATATTTACATATAAATAATAAATATTAGTTAATTTTAAGTTTAAAATTTTATTACTTTTTATAAAATTCAAGAGTGAGGTAAATATTTTTATTATATTGTTAAAAATATTTTTTGTTAAAAATAATAATAATATGGCATGACATTTCGTTAGGAGCGTGGTTTATATTTTGAGGAAAATAGGAATAACTCGGTAATATTGTGGTCTTAAAAGAAACAAAAGTGATATTACAAGGTAAATTTCCAAACATGGATGACTATCTAAGGAATTTACTCCCAAATACATTTACGTCGCAATTCTATACTTTTTCATGTCATATTAGTTGTATTAATTGGTTGTCTTTATTTATTTATATATATTAAATTACTTGTTTATTTATTAAATTAAGATAAAATTAAAGATTTTTTTTCTCATTTTATCCCTACAATTAATACTCTTAAGAAATTATTATTAAAAAAATAATGGATTCATTAAATGTTTTGAATTTCATGAAAATTAGTAGTGCTATCCTCAACGTGTAATATAATTATTGAAATTGTAAAATATTATTTTGTAGAGGTATTAATAAATCAATAAATTAATAAATATTAATTTAAAGAATGTTTTTAAAATTTAATGAATATATCTTGTTTTTTCCCCTTAAAAATATCATAGACATACTTGCCTATGAAATGAAATTTATGAATGAAAATTGTAGGATATTGAAAAGGAAGAAGAATGGAAGAATAAACAACAATGAAAGATCAAAAATTTGAAAGAAAGAGAGTGAATAAAATATTGAAGTGGATATAAATAAGAGTAATAAATGCTTTTTTGGGCAATGTATTTTATTGAAAAGGAAAAACGTATTGCACGGTGTGATTTCTTGAAACCATCTAATGCTTTAAGAGTCTAAGACTTTTTCTTAGTGATTTTACTTTAGAGGGCAATTTGGGTGCAAAAAAAATAAAATTACAGCAATACCATTCGCATACCTTTGAAATTATGACCTTACCCCCAAAAAGTAAGGTCGTGTCATTTGTGTCAAAATTTTGTCCTGCCAAATATATTTTTCGTAATATTTTATGTTATTACTACTACTTTCGCATATTCTCTCTGTCCAACAATAGTTGTCCATTATTGACTTGCCACATTTTAAGAAACAATAATTAATAGGAGTAATATTTCTATATTACTCTTTGAATATATTAAATTAAATGTTTTGAAAAATGTATTACATGTTAAATAGTATTTAATAGCAAGATAAAATAAATATAAAAAGATAAATTATCTCTTGATTTTTTAAACTAGACGAATATTATTGGATAACTATTTTTAATATAGTAGAAAAATAAAAATAGACCGAAAGAGCACCTATTATTCTTAATCTGAGAAATTTCTATGATTTTTTTTGAGAAGTTTCTATGATTTGTTTTAATGCTAAACGCTATTTTATAATATTAAAATTATCAAATTTCAAATTACCAAAAAAATAAAAATAAAGCAACTCTCAAAGTAGAAAGTGATTCTATTCAAATTATGCTTACAAAATATTAATGTAGTTGTTTTTAGTGTAAAAATATTTGGAATAAGACATAATTCAATTAACTTCTCAAAAACTTCAGAAAAATTGTTTGTTCTATTTTTTATTTTATTTTAATTTATTTATCTTACGTTTTTCATAATAAGTTTCGAATATAATTTTTTTTTTATAAATTCTTTAATTCTAACTTTCAAATACCAAATTTAACACCATAAAACTAAAAAATGTTTTAATACATTTTATATATTGTTAAGTTAAAGCATCAAAAATTTAAAATATTTTTATTTTTTAAAACTTTGTGTCAATTCCAAAAAAAAAATCAAATTGAAAAAAAAAAAAATAGGAGAAGGAAGTAGAGTAACAAAGTTGTATTGCTGTAATTCCCTTTCTCCACGTTTTAAAACAATTGACATTTTAGTGGGCCATGAATTCATACAACTACTGCAAATGTAGGTATTCCCCACTGTCCTTTACCTATATAATGCCTACGAACACGTTTGGATTTATTATTTTAGATATTTACAAGTTAAGATAATTTTTTAGTGTTTTTAAAATATTAAAAATAAGCTAGCTTATGCTTTATTCATCATGTTAGCTAAAGAGGATGTTTGGATTGGGTTAAAAGTTGGTCAAATATACTTATAAGTCAATTTCTGATTTCTGGAAGTATTTAGCAAATATAAAAACAACTTAAAATAAGCTAAGAAGTGCTTGGCAATGTAAAAAATGACTTAAATAAATTAACATGACTTAAAATAAGTCAAAAACCAAAAGTAGGTCTCTCCCTGCTTTTTATTTTTTGACTTAGTTAAAAGTCATTTGAGTTTGACATTTAAATTTTGACATAAAAAATACTTTTTTCAAGCCAATCCAAACGGGCTCAAACTCCTTTCTAGATTCCTAAAATCTTATTTTTAAAAAAATAATAAATCGGAAAAAGCTCATTTTATTGAAAAACAAATAACAAAAATATTTAAAAAGAAACACGGGCCCAATAATGATCCTAGTCCAAAAAAAGACACTACAAACTAAAAAGAAAACAAAACCTAGAGGGGTCTAAACGATCGGCTGGTCATCGTCTCTGTAGTTTATGAAGACTAGATTGAAGAAGAAGAAGAAGAAAGAGAATAAGAAGCAGAAGAAGATAGAGGGGAAGAAGAAAACATAATCTCTTAAGAAGTAGAATTATCCTTGGGAGTCTAAAAACTCTCACTCAATATTCTTATTGATGTGTTAACCTTTACAGAGTACAATCCTATCTATATATATACAGTGCGTCTTGAATAGTTAGTTAGAATTCTTAACTAACTAATGGAACTACTAACTTATAACTTTCCAAATGTGACTTGTCCTCTTTAGTTTTGCTTACTAACATTAACACTCCCCCTCACACTTGGAAGTGAAAATATGTTCTGTACTACAAGCTTGGAACTAAGTAGTTGATGTTGAACTTTGGTCAGTCCTTTGGTGAGCATGTCAGCTGGTTGTTCATGTGTAGGAGTGTACTTGGTACATATTATTCCTTGTACAATTTTTCCCCTTATGAAATGACAATCTATCTCAATATGCTTTGTTCTCTCATGGTACACTGGATTGGCAGCTAACAAGATTGTTGCTTTGCTATTTGTACACACATCTACAGGCTTCTGCACTTCAATCCCTAAGTCCTTTAGTAAACCCAACATCCAAATAATTTCAGTTACAGTTGTAGCTATACTTCTATACTCAGCTTCTGCTGAACTTCTAGACACAAAAGATTGTTTCTTAGATTTCCAAGAGACCATTGAGTTACCAAACTTGATAAAATAGCCTGTTACAGACTTTCTTGTAAGAGGACAAGAAGCCTAGTCAGCATCACAAAATGTTGTAAGCTTGTTGTCTTGACAGCTAGATAACAATATCCCTTGACCAGGCTGGCCTTTTATATACCTAACAATCCTTAAAGCTGCTTCCATATGGGTTTTTTTAGGTTGTTGTAGAAACTGACTCAATGTTTATACTCCAAATGCAATGTCAGGCCTTGTCATTGTAAGATATAGTAGCTTTCCTATCAATCTCTGATAGATGCTTTGATCAGCTAGAGGATCTTCTTTGTCACCTTCTGAATTGACATAATCATCATATTGCTTTGAAGTCAGCTTGTTATTGTTGTCAATAGGAGTCACTGCAGGTTTTGCATTTCCCAATCCTATTTCAGAAATCAGTTCTAATGCATATTTTCTTTGATGCATCAGTATGCCTTTACTTGACCTGGCAAACTCAATCCCTAAGAAAAATCTGAGCTCACCTAGATCCTTCATTTTGAATGTTTGGTTCAGTTTATCTTTTGTTTATTCAATAAGCTGAACACTACTTCCTGTAATTAACATATCATCAACATATATAAGAACAAACACTGATCCTATTGATGTTTGCTTGATGAATAAGGAATGATCATGTTCACTTTGCTTGAACTGAAACCTTAGCAATGCCTTAAACAACTTTGCACTCCACTGTCTGGGAGCTTATTTCAACCCATAGAGGGATTTAGTGAGTCTACATACTTTATTCTCCCCCTGACTCTCAAATCCCTGTGGTAACTACATATAGATTTCATCTGGTAAATCTCCCTGAAGGAATGCATTGAATACATCCATTTGATGTATCTGCCAGTGTTGTTGTGCAGTAATAGCCAAGACAGTCCTGACAGTCTTTATTTTGACAACAGGACTAAAGGTTTCTTGGTAATCTATGCCTTCTTTTTGGCTATACCCCTTTGCCACTAGCCTTGCTTTAAACCTTTCAACATCTCCATTAGCCTTGTAGTTAACTTTAAATATCCATCTGCATCCAATAGGTGTTTTACCCTCTGGTAGCTCAACTATTTCCTAAGTATGATTTTCTTGCAGTGCCTTGATCTCAGCAACCATTGCTTCAGTCCATCTAGGATCAGATGCTGCCTCCTTGTAGGACTGTGGTTCTGCAACACTTGACATCTTTGCCAAATATGTTTGATAAACTAGTTTAATGTTGTCATATGATAGATATTTGTCCATACTATATGGTCCCTCATGAATGTTCAGAGACACAAAGTCTTTTAGCCACAAAGGTGGTTTAGTTCCTCTTCATGATCTTCTCACTTCAGTTTGAGACAGTTGTTCTGTTTGTATTTCAGTTGGTGGTTCCTCTGGTGGTTGTAGGTCTGTTGCAGCCTCCACCTCCACACTCTCAAATTGTTTTTGATCCAATATATCGGCTTGAGTATGTTGATGTGAGTGTGTTCCTATTGGAACTCCTTCCAATTCATCAACCTCATGATTGACAGCATTGTATGTAAATATAGGAACTGTCTTTGTGGACTTCAGTTTGAATGGAAACATATCTTCTTGGAATACTACATCTATGTTAACCAAGAAAACATTACTAGTTAGATCATATAACAAATATCCTTTTTGAGTTTCAGCATATCCTAAAAATACACAAATTGTAGGCCTAGGCTTCAATTTGTCAGTTTCATTTACTTTCTTTGCAAAACATAGGCACCCTAACACCTTTAATTGATGTAAAGAAGGTTGTTTGTTATACAATTTTTCAAAAGGAGATATATTACCAATTACACTACTAGGCATTATGTTAATAATATATACTGCAGCTTTAACACACAACCCCCAAAACATCACAGGAATATTTGCTTGAAACCTTATGGCTCTTGTTACCTCTAAAATATGCCTGTGCTTCCTTTCAGCTATTCCATTTTGTTGGGGTGTATTAGCACATGAAGTTTGGTGTATTATCCCTAGTTCTTTGAACATTTCACTACAACTTGTATTAACAAACTCAGTACCATTATCACTTCTTATAACATTAAATTGCTTATTAAACTATGTTATGATGTAAGTCAAGTAAGTTTTCAGTATAGTACACACATCAGACTTCATTCTTAGCAAGAACACCTAAGTCATTCTAGAATAATCATCTACAACAGTTAAGAAATACTTAAAACCATCAAAAGTAGATCTTTTATAAGGACCCCACACATCCTTATGTAACAAATCAAAGCTGCTCAAGCTATTAGATGTACTTATAGGAAAATGAATTCTATCTTGTTTGGCACAAGGACATATAGTGCAGTTGCTTATGGATTTTGTAATATCTACCAAACTAAGATTTAACAACTTTTTAAGTACTGAACTAGAACTATGATCAAGTCTTTTATGAAGTAACTGAACATCAATTTGTACAATATGTTTATCACTAAGCTCAGAATGTCTGGCTGACAACACATCATCTTCTTTATCTATTTTGTTGGCTAGAATGTACAATCCTCCATCCTCTATACCAATCAAATTCACCTTTCCACTGAAGAGTTCCTGAAATAAGCAGAAGTCACGAAAGAAGGAAGATGAACAGTTCAATTCCTTGGTTAGCTTAGCAACAGACAACAAATTAAATTTGAATTGAGGAATGTAGAATACTCCTGACACTTTGTTTGTCCCATCTAATATGCTAGAACCTAGATGAGTAACTAAAGCTTTATCCCCATTAAGAAGATGCACTTTCTTTGGATTATCAACTTTAGAGATGGACTGGTGTGATAAGAGACTCAGATCAGCCACCACATGATTGGTGGCCCCTGTATCTAATATCCAACCTGTATTTTGACTTTGAGTTCTTTGATTAGAGTTCATACCTGTTGCATTTACACTGTGTGGAACCTCTGTCTTTTTGTCAAGAAGTTGCAAGACCTGATTGTACTGCTCTCTAGTCAATGTACAGGACTACAGTTGGTTTCGATTTGGTGGTTTAATCTTTGCATCAAATCTCAATTGTCCACTTCTTGTATCACTAGAACTGCCTCTAGCACTTGACCTTACACAATCCTCAGATTTTGATCTCACACCATCATCAAATTCACCCGTGACATTATATGCAGAATTACTCACCCCTCTCTTTTTGAACTTAAAACCCTGTGGATATCCAATAATCTTATAACAAGTTTCCCTGGTATGTCCTTTGACCTTGCAAAAATCACACACCAGATTATACCTCTTCTTGAGCTTATTCTGAGTTCTACTAGTCCTTGAATACATGACAGCATCAAACGATCCTTATAGACTAACTAGACCAGTACCTAACACTCCTGCATTTGTTGCAACTAATTTTTTACTCTCATAAGTTAGAATCATAGAATATGCCTGATTAACACTAGGCACTGGTTTCAACATTAGAATCTGACTTCTTACCTGCAGATAGGAGTCATTCATCCCCATGAGGAACTGAAACAACTTCAGACTTTATAGATGCACCCCATATTCTTTTGACCACTCCCATGACAACCCGGGATTGGGGCTAGAGCTTCAAACTCTTCCTACAACCCTTTGAGTTTAGAGTAGTATACAGAAACAGAACTGGTGCCTTGACTTAAGGTGGCAATTTCTTTATGAAGATTAAATGTTCTTGATCCATCCACCTTGTTGAATCTTTCGAACAAGTCATCCCATACAACTTTAGCACTTGAAGCATACATTATGCCTCCTAACAAGCTCTTTGAAACAGAATTCATGATCCAAGACAGAACTAAGGCATTGACTCTTTCCCAGTTGTTCTCTAGCCCTGGAAACATTTCCTTTTTACAAGATCCATCAACCATTCCCAGTTTGTTTCTTCCTATCAACGCAATCTTCATTTATCTGAACCAAATCGAATAATTTTCCATTAACTGAAACGAAATTATCTGTATCCCACTTACATCAGAAGAGTGCAAGAACAATGGGTGATTGTGATCAATCACAGCTACAACTCCTCCATTGGTACTCGTGGCTTGACCTTGAGAATCAACATAATTTGGTGCCATTTCTTGAACCAATGTCGAACCTTTGAATCTGTATTAATGTCAATCGAGAAAAAATTGCGGAATTACAGAATCAAGCAATGAATCTCTTGCTTGAAAGCTCTGATACCATGTAGTTTATGAAGACTAGATTGGAGAAGAAGAAGAAGAAGAAGAAGAAGAAGAAGAAGAAAGAGAATTAGAAGCAGAAGAAGATAGAGGGGAAGAAGAAGACACAATCTCTTAAGAAGTAAAATTATCCTTGGGAGTCTAAAAACTCTCACTCAATATTCTTATTGATGTGTTAACCTTTACAGAGTACAATCCTATCTATATATATACAGTGCTTCTTGAATAGTTAGTTAGAATTCTTAACTAATTAACTAATGGAACTACTAACTTATAACTTTCCAAATTTGACTTGTCCTCTTTAGTTTTGCTTACTAACATTAACAGTCTCCGACGAACAAAGGCGGCGTCGGTGGGATTTCATTATAATTGAAGCTGTTAAATTAGGTCTTAGGCCTAACTCACACCCCAAAACTAGCTCAAAGGGAGGGGGATTGCCCAAGCCTTATAAGGAGTCCACACATCTCACTAACCATCAATATGAAACTTTTTGTCATTATTTAACACCCCACCTCACGCCCAGTGCTTAACATTTGGTGTGTGGGCAATCTAGATTTTGGGGGTCCAACATTGGGTGAGATGGGTCTTGCTCTGATACCATGTTAAATTAGGTTTTAAGCCTAACTCACACCCCAAAAGCTCTCTCAAAAAGAGGAGGATTATGATCACCTTCTAGGAATATGATAAGGATAAAAGTGCTTATTACTTATACCAAAAAAAGTTGTTGATAAAGTACAACCGGTGGAGACGGAAATGTGTGCTGACATGTTTAAAGGTCAGCTTCCTATCAAATATGTAATGTCCTATTGTTGTGAATTTGTGTTGCAGGAATGGTTGTTGTGGTTTTTGATGCGATCAGGTGTGTTTTTGGTAATTTTGACTCTTTTGAGCTAAGAATTGTTGGTATGGTTGACTTTGGTTAAAAGTTTGAGTTTCGAGTGTCAGATAGAAAATTTGGTAGTTGTTTATGTTCTTCATGTGTTCTTGGTGTTTTTAAAGAAAAGAAGCAAAAAGTGTAAAATTTGATCCAAAAACTCCAATTGAAAATTGTTAAATCTTGTTTGGGGTGTAAAAAATTATTTTGCAAAATCGGAGTTAGAGAAAATTGTATGGGTGAGCCTTTTCTTTAAGAACAATGATATAAATAAGCAAAACTTTTAACTGATGACATAAATGAGCCATTTCTAAAAATTTAATGACATATTTGAGCCTTTTCCCTTTAAACATTATTACTTTTAACTTATCAAAACCTAAAATCACAAAAACATAAAGCGTTTATTCCTAACAAAAGCACTGTTCGGCGTGCATTGGTTCAAATCCAATCCAAAGATTATTACTATATACCTTACATTGTAACACCACCGATAAAATGAGCCCATATTTTGATAATCCGTCCAATTCTTCCATATTTAAATAGGTTGGGTGAGTAATATTTTTAGAAGCATAAAATATGAATTTGAACCCATATTCATTGCAAAGAAATATATATATTCATGGGTAAAATATGAATTAGTTTGTAATTTACCCAACCTATTTTTATCAATATAATATAAGAGTGGATTAATTATTATCCGTTTTATATTAACCCATTTTTAATCTATCCAAATTTAATCCAATTCACCTATTTGTCACCATTACCTGCACCTATAATGCAAAATTGAACATTGCATTCGCGATCATTGCATCTTGAAAGCTTGAAGAATATGGTAATCCAGAAAATAAGGTGTCTTCATTGTTTCGAATATGGGCAGAAAGCTAGCCAGGGCGGCTACTATATTTGATTAGCTTCATATCTAATTATTTAGATTAGCCACACTAGTTAAATATAATTTTCAAAGGTCTAAATTAGATTCATTTAACAAATATTTTAATCATAGTTAAAATTATATAATTTTGAAAAACACTCTCTAATTCTAATATGAAATATCAATCTTCCCCACAATTTTTGGTACTTATTAATGTTATATCATTAACTTTATTCTCTAAATTTATATTTTAAAAAAGGCGAAATGGTCGGATAGACCCTTATACTTATAT